ATGAACTCATGGAATCTTGATCCGGTTTTTCTGAAGTTGTTCCCTTGGACTACTGACTTCAATCCTAATAACATCAAACAATCTTCTACTCAATTTTGGGTAAGGATATATTGATTATCATATGAGTACTGACGCCTTAAAATTCTTTTCACTATTGCTAGCAGTATTGGAACTTCTCTTTGCACGAATACGATCACAAATAAACCTAGATTTTATCGCCCTTTTGGGCATTATGTTAGGGTTTTGGTGGACATGGAAGTTAAATAGGAACTCAGGTACAAAATCCTCGTTGCAAGAAAAGGATTTGCATTCTTTGTAGTTTTGGAATTCAAAAACCTTCCATCGCTTTGCAACCATTGTAAAACAATAGGTCATTTTGTAGAGGTTTTCAAAAAAGTTGTAAAGTACGACCTTATTCATGACCTTGAGGGATGGAACAAGGCTGATAAGAAAGTCTACAAACCAAAACAAACTTTTATCCAGTTTGCTGATAAGAATTTAATGAAAGGAAAAGATCAAATCATTTCCTCTGAAGCTTGCTTAAACTCAAGTTACCGGTTGGAGAAACTAGTAGAGTTAGGAAGGATGAAAGCTTGGTTTTCTTGGAAGAGAAACAAGATACTCTAGTCCAATCTAATTCAAAGGAATCATAATCAACATCTGATTCTGAGTTTACTGATGTTACTTGTAGCACCCCAAAATTTGCCTTTTATCATTTTTTGGTTTACTGGCTTTTGTTTCTATACATTTTGCATTTTTACATATCATAGCATTGGTTCTTGAGGCATGGGATCAAGGTGTTTTTGTGGCTCATGGTTCCCTTTCGTTGCAAGAGTTTAAACAGCGAGCATTAGAGGCTCCGTCATTTATTTTGCCCAGCCATCGAGCGGTCGATTTTATTTTATTCAGCAGGTTATTTTCAGCTCAGGAGATGGTGTACAGTCTATCTCAAGCATTCTCACAATCATAATATCCAAGGGAAAGTTTCAGAGGCTTAATAGAGCTTATAACAGGTGGCAATGGGTGATTATACAGGATTCCCTCCATTTGGCGCCAAATTGGACGTTTTTTGAATGTGGTAACCGGTTACCACATATGGGTAACCGGTTACTTCAAGTGTATTTTGCCAAGAAATTTAAATTTTCAGCATTGCAAGTTTTCCAATCATTTTCAACCATTGATTTTACATGATCATCATGGGAAGGATCTAGAATTGTTTCAATTTTCACTATTTCCCTCCAAATTTCAAACACTCCATTCCTAATTCTACTCCTAATTTCCATTCCAAATGCTAATCTACATTCCAAACCATATTTTGATTCCAAACCTAGAGCTTATTTAAGTGAATTTGCTTCAAACCTCACACAATAACCTTCATTTTTCAGATTTCACATTCATTCTTGAGAATTTGCTCTCAACTTTCTCTCAACTTTTTCACTCCCAAAACCTCCATTAAAGCTCTTTTCACTTGAGTTCTTTGATTCTTCATTGGAATAATCTAGAGCTAAACCTCCATCGTTCATCTCCATTATCTTCAATTCATCACTCAATTTTCGTTTGAATTTGGATCTGAATTTGGAAGCTAGATTGGAAGTACTTTTTTGAGTCATTTTTGCTTGATCTTGCTTATTCTTCATTTATACCATAAGGAAGCTCTTGGATCTTGAAGATTCTCTGGGTTTCTAGCTTGGATCTGTTAATTTCAAGTGAATCAACACTCGCCAAAACAAATCTCAGTTTTGAAGGTTGGTATTTCTAGAACTAATTCTGTTTTGAGCTTATTTGAATAATCACAATGTAGATCAATGACTTTTGTTTCTTTTTGAACCATTTTGATAATTTGGATCTTGGTGATTTGTGATTTCAGTGTTTGATTGTGTTTACATGATGCTTGATTATTGATTCTTAATGATAAATCTGTGCTTAATTGATAACATGCTCATATGAGTGATTGGATAAGTTGTTGGATGCATAAAACTGATTTTAAAAGCTGATATTCTGTTTTCTGCTCAGTGGTAACTGGTTACCTGAATTTGAGTAACCAGTTACCCTTCACAAATTTTCACGTTCCAGGCTGTTTTAACAACAGGTAACCGGTTACCTAATATGAGTAACCGGTTACCACTGAGCAAAATGTTGTATTTTTTCATTTTTCTTGTTTGTTTGGTATCCTTTTCACATGTAAACTTCATGGATTGATCTGATGCATTTATGTGGATTATTTTTTTGACATATTTCATCATTCTTGAATGTTTGATTTGGATTCTTCAACGTGTAACTTCCGATTTCCATTTGAATGCTTAACATGTTATTGTTTCTTGATTGATGAATGATCACATGCCTTTGCTTGCTTGTAGCATGATTAATTGATTATCATTGTTGATTATCTTGCTGGATATTGTGATGCATGTTTGCATTTGCTTTCGATGCCGCTTGTTACACGTTTGTTTGATCGGTCGATCGTCCAACTTAATTTGAAAACATGTTGATCTTGATGATTCTTGTTGATGCATTGTTGTTAATCAATTATGTTTAATTGTTAAAGCATGTCCATTGTTGCATGACATCTATTCATGATCGGTGTTTGTTCATGATTAATTGCATTCTTACATGCTTGTTGCCCTACTTTGCACAACTGTTTTTATCTTGAATTTGCATGTTGTCTTTGCCTTGCTTACTTGCTGTCTTCCTTTTACACCTACTTTTATGCTGAAACATGTGTTGTTATAGGTTGTCTTGCTTGTGTGCTGGTTTTTATTACTGTTTTGTGCAGGAGGCGTTGTTGTAGCTGCTACTTTTACCTTGTTTCCTTGCTTTTTTCTTTGTCTTTGCATGCTCCCTTAGGATTCTTATTCCAATTTAATTTCCGATTAAATTTGGAGTAGGATAGACATTAGGATTTCAATCCAAGCATGATAACAAGTAGTCTAGTCCATTTTAACCTCAACCTTAGGTCCATCTTTTGCATGCTAACATTAGGATAGAATCTCCTTTTGCATCCCGACCTTAGGACCACTTTGCATGACAACATTAGGGTCGAGTTTCCCCTTAGACCTTCCATGCGTCTCTCTTATTATCTCAAAAAACTTTCTAACTCATCTAATAAACACGATGAATGTTGTACTCTACGAGCCTTAAGCACATGGGAAATGATGAGTGAGGGGTTTCTCCTCACTTGTCTAGAGTGTTTAGTGTATGCCCTTAGGGTGATATGCGACGCATTCGCTCCTATGTCATAGTCTTTAGTGCAACGTGAATCACAAAGCAAACTAATTCACTTCACAAAACTCACAAAAAAAATTCAAACCTTTTTATCCTCCGTGATTTGCGTTTCAAACTCATTTTCAGAAAAGAGTACATTACTTTTCCGTTCTACCGCAAATAGACATTGTTCCTAACTGCTGGAATGGGAACTTAATGTCGCTCATAAAAAACACTTAACCAACCTGTGGTTTCATTACCCGAACCACGTTTTCTCTGATTTCTCATACCAGATGAGCATACATAGGTACAAGACGACGATGTCTTTGCGAGCAACCTTCCCCCTATTACCCGTAGTTTTCCGAAATACGTTGACTCTGACTTTCCCATTGCACGAGGGAATACATAGGCATAGGACGACGATGTCTTATCGAGTCTCTTTCTTTTTTTTTTCTTTTGTTCTCATTTCCGTTTAGCAATAGTTTTTAGATAAGACACCATTTGATTAGACAACAAGCATGGATCTTGTTGAGTACAACGAACGTGAGGGGTGCTAATACCTTCCCCTTGCGTAACCGACTCCCGAACCCAAGATTTGGTTGTGATGACCTTGTCTTTTCCCGTTCTTCAGGTTTTCTTCGATTTTTTCCTTTCCCTATCTTTAGGATAAATAATGTTCAGTGGCGACTCTTCTGTTTTTCCGCCGGGTGTTTTTCGCAGTTGCGACAGCTGGCGACTCTGCTGGGGAATAGATTGTTTCCCTATGCGAGTCAATCCTACAATGAGTACCAAAAGAACCTTCGTGGACCTCTTCCATCAGAAAACTTGCTTCATTTCATCCATACAATGCAAAAACACCATATTTAATTTTCTTTTTTATAGCACATCATCCTTGTTCAAGTAGAAATTACCCGACAGCCTCCTCAGAGTCTTCTTGTCTTTACTTGATGCCCCAGGCGGATAATCTTGAGTCTTAAGAAAATGTCTGACGTGAAAATACCATGGCTTTCCATCTGATGCTTTTTTAATAGCAAACACAAAGGTCGACCTGTCAAGGCGCATGATAGTGATTGTTGGAGCTTCATTCCAGAAATTCACTTTATACATTGATGATAACGTTAACAAAGCGTCCGCCATCTGATTTTCATCCCTTGGTACATGATGAAATTCAATCCTGTCGAAGAAAGGTAGCAGTCTTCTTGTATAGTTCTTATAAGGGACTAGGTTGGCCTGGCAGGTTTCCCACTCTCCTTTGATTTGATTGACGAATAAGGCTGAATCACCATACACATCTAGATTCTTGATTCTCAAATCAATAGCTTCCTCTAGACCCATGATACATGCTTCATTATTGGTGCAGGCGAAAATTAACTGGGCAGTGAACGGTATATGAGAGTCGTGAGGAGTTGTAATTGTTAGTTTCATGGTTCTATGATTGTCCATGGTTCTATGATTGGCTAAATTTTGGTAAAACATGATCCTGCACTGATGTTAAGCAGGATATTATAACATCTTCATCTGTTGTGGTGACAGAACTGCTGTGGAGTGTTTTAATGAGAATGTCATACTAAATGTCATGACATCCATCTGTTGTCATGACAGAACTGCTGCCATGTGTTTTTAATCACAATGTCATGACATCATTGTCTGATATAGCAGGAGCTGTGGTAACAGAACTACTGTCATGTGTTATAAACAACAGGAGTTGTGGTGGAGCAGGAGCTAGCAAAAGCAGATGACAAAACTGCTGTCATGAGTTTTAAACAAGATGTCATTACCAATGTCATGACATCACTGTCTGGTGCAGCAGGAGCTAGCAGGAACTGATGACAGAACTGCTGTCATGGATGTCATACTAAATGTCATAACATTAATGTCTAGTACAACAGGGGCTGCTATGTTATATCTCTTGACATAAGTGTTTTGGTCCTGTTGGATATTCCTCATCAGTATGTACAAGCCTAAGAGAGTTATTAGAAACAAAGTGCAGATTTAATGGGTGTTCATAAAAAGGATCTTTGATACTTTTTAGGGAACTATAAAACATTTGTTTCTACTGTCATGAAGAAGATTCTACAGAAGTATTCAGCAGGGCAAGCTAGAAAGCAAGTTTAAGTGAAGTTGAATGTCATAACTGAATGTTATGACATTGGTCGTATGACATCAGGCGTGCAGGGTTTGTTTTTCTGTTATGATACCTGATATATCTCAGGCTAAATTTCAGGAAACCTGTTATGGCTTCTTAGTTATCTCAGGCGAGATTCTCGTCAGGGCTGGACATAACATGAAGCTGTTGTGACCTAATTTGGCAGCACCTTGAATTATGGAAATTAGTTTTACTTAGTTAAACCTAATGTTTGTTACTTGTGACCAGCCCAAGCCCAGTCTGCACTACTATAAAAGGAGGAGCAGAAGCAGAAGAAATC